CGCGCCAGCTGGGAGAGGCAGCGGCGGAGAAGCCGCGGGATGAGTCGGAGGTGCCCGTGCTAGGGGAGTCCACGCCACCAAAGCCCGAGGCTGAACAGAGCGGCCTCACCTCCACCAGAGGCCAGTGTGTGGTGTGGTCCGGCGTGCTGGACGCCTGCCCAGCTGCCTATGAGCCCAGGCTCAATGACACGCCGGCTGCGCCGCTGCTTGCCACTGTCATGGTTCTCAAGATATGGAGAAGTTGTGGTGTGTGCCCACCAGGGCGGAACTGGACCTTGATTCCCCGCCTCTGAACCCGCCCTGAACACACATCTGTGGCTCATTCACACTGATCCTGGCAGACTACTTAAGATGGCAAGAGAGGCCGCCCAGTTAAAAACACGGGAACTCAGGGGTTTGGAGCGTGGTGTGTTGTGGTGTAAATAAAATGGCTCAAAACACTGATCACTGGACCCGCCGTGCCTTATTCACACCACACTGGCATCATTGCACAGGCTGCCAGTTAGTTTTAGAATTAATTTTACGATTTTATTATTTGTTTTTAAGGCTTTGCACGGATTAGCACCCTCATAGCTTTCTGATCGCTTAAATTGGTACACTTGGTACAATTTTATGATTCTTTTTCTTATCATGTCTCCCTATATTTTTATTTTTTAATTATCTTAATTGCTGTGCAATTGTGATATAACTGTGATATATAAATACATTTGACTTTGATTTTGCCATTGTCTTCATGCTTGCATGCATGTAGTCTGAATTACTTACCATCAAAAAGAAAGTCTGTTCTAAAAGGTTGTCGTCATTATACATATTTATGTGATACTGTTTCAACACTCTGATTCTTTGTCCTACCAGGTGATATTGGTTCATCCCAGTGAGGCAGTCACAGAGCTGCGCAGGATGAACATAGAGGAACCTGACCGGATCTTCTTCAAGAGCCGGTTCCGCTCAAGCTTGTTCGCTAGAACGACCACGTGTAACGTATGTTTACGTCCAACTGAGCAGCCTGTGTGTAACTACACTGACCTCCATACAGGTGAGCCATGGTTCTGCTACAAGCCAACAAATCTGAGTTGTAATGCCAGGATCAGCAACTACAATGGAGGATATAAAAAGAACCTGACAACTATGGAGAAGCTTTTTCAGAGGTGAGCATTATCTGTGGTGTTAAATTTCTGGAGTTACTAAAAATGTATGTACTGTGCATAATACATTTAATTTTCTAGTTTAAAACGATGTTCTTTCCAAATTTTGTGAAGATGTTAATTGTGTATGCTTTCCTTCAGAGGTGTAAATATGAAAGTCTCCATTCCGGCTTCAGGACCAGCCAGCGTCACCATTTTGCCAAAACAGAAAGGTACGCTTACATCTATGTCTTCATAATGAAATATTTAAAAAAGGTGGTGATATATATTATAAGCAGTTGGCAGGTCAAACATTAATAAATAAATAAATTAAAACTTCACCAACATTTACTAGCATCTTCTTGATATTGGATACCTATAGGATGTGTCAAGGTTATTTTAAGAGTAAGTGATCAGGAGATCTGGAGAACTTTGTTGATGCTTTATTGATAACACTAACAGCTAGGGGTGTTCTTATGAATGCATAGTTCAAGATGTGGGTGAAATTAACTTACTGTAGGGGTCTGTTATAAAATTAACAGCTTTAACATCATTCTGGGTTCTTAGTTTAGAGTTTGCATGCTGATTGTGCAGTTTCTACATTGTACTGCTCAAAGTCCCATCAGTAACCTCTCTTGAAGGTAATAAAATAGAGTTGGTTCACACCTATAAATATCTGGGAATCTTAATTGATGACTCGCTTACCTTCAAACCACATGTAGAAAAACCTGAAGTTAAAACTGAGATTTTATCTTCAAAATAAGTTGTGTTTCTCTTTTAATACAAAGAAGCGGCTTGTTGCTGCAACATTGTTGCCTGTGCTGGATTATGGAGATATTCTATATATGAATGCTTCTGCTCAATGTCTTCGAATGGTTGATTCTGTGTATCATGCTTCTCTGAGGTTCATCACTAACCGTAAATTTCAGACTCACCACTGTGAGTTATACTCTCAGGTAGGATGGCCTGCTTTGGTAAGTCGGAGGAACTCTCATTTATACAGTTTTATATATAAGGCAATACTGGGGTTGCTGCCTTCTTATCTATGTTCCCTGCTTGTAATGAAACATGCTGGTCGGTATTCTCTTCGTCCGCATGGTTACTTGTTGCTTTCTGTTCCATTTGCCCAAACTGAACTTGGTAAAAGAGCTTTTGTTCGTTCAGCACCCTCGGCTTGGAACAAACTGCAGAAGGAAAATGACTGAATTCATTTCATTAAGTGCTTTTAAATCTAAACTACGAATCCTTGAGGCCAAGTCCATAACATGCAACTGTTTCAATTAGATTGATTGTCATTTTAACTGATTTATTTATTTATTTATTTTTATTTGAATTTAATTTTATTTAATTTTATTTGTATTCTTTCACTTATTGTTGCATGTGTGATGTTGCTGCCTGTGTTTGAGTCATTTCTGTAACTGTGAGACACCTGCTGCTGCCTACCTTGGCCAGGTCTCCCTTGAAAAAGAGGTTTTTAATCTCAATGAGATTTTCCTGGTTAAATAAAGGTTAATAAATAAATAAAGTAATAAAAGTAATAGCTATATCCACACTGCAGATGGTGTTGCTATATTCCTCCTCCAACATTGCGAACTGAAATCAGCTGACTGTAGCGCAAGTGCAACTGAAACCAATAAGCAGGATTGACAAGCAGAATTACAATTCCAAGGAACTGGACTATTGGAAACCAGTTCTGTATGCGATACCCAGTAATGTGTGTTCACATTTGTATGAATTCATTTATATTTAAGTTGTTTTACTGTAAATGTAAGTAATATTTTCATTTGAAAATGCCCTAAATTAAAGAATTTCAACTAGAGATCTAGTATCTAGCCCTTGTAGTATATTTAAAATTTAAAGAGACAGAACCCAGAAGGTCACTGTCACGGCTGAGGAGCAGTCGTGTGGTGTATTGAGAAAATGATCCAAAATGCAGACACTGGCTAGGGTGTGAGTCAGTGTTTATTTACAGAAGTGACAAAAACAGGACGAGCAGAGCGGGGAGTTAACAAACCTAAACTGGGGAAAACTAAAGAACTAATCAGTAAACCAAACACTCACAAAAGGAGGGGAAAGATGCACAGAGAAGGATGGCAGAGAGACGCAGAATGAACACCAGGTTACACAGAGTAGTGAAGACTGACACAGCGTAACACAGACGACGCGACAGAGAGCACAGGAAAACACAGGGCTTAAATACACGGGGAGTAATCAGGGAATGGGCCACAGGAGGGAGACACAGCTGGGAGAAATTAGGCTAACGAGACAGGGGAGAGGTAAACTGAGCACACTCACATAAGACACAGACCTTCACAATAAAACAGGAAACTCGGACACAGGGAACCAGACAAGACGCTGAACTGAACAGACAGATTCACAAACAGACGGGGTGACACCATAGACAGACAGAGATACAGACGCAGACCGAAGAAAACTCAAACAATAATAATCATCATAATAATAAACTAGAAAATGATAATAATAAACTTAAAGCGCTGGGTCACCGACCCAGGACCATGACAGTCCCAAGGCAACAGGTGATATAGCAATATCATATATAAATTAATTATTTTCAACAACTCCAGACCTAACCATAGATATAAAGTTTTTCATTATTTTCTAAATATTTTTATGTTTTTATGTACTTATTGTCATAAAGACCCCTGGTTTTGTTTGTTTGTTTGTTTGTTTGTTTTTAATGGGAAAAACCCAAAATCTGCAATATTTTCCAAAAATTAGTTGCAAAATAACATATTTGGCATCAGGGTAGTACAGCCTTGAATAGGTCAAGAATTGATAACAACATTGATTTTGATGCATACTCACACTGAACAAAGATGAAACAACAAACTGAACAAAGATGTAATTGACATTTTATAACATGAACCACGAAGCGTTTTCAGATGGATTTTGCAGACAGGAGCACCACATTTGCAGCAGTTGGTTAAGATTGTGCTGCGCTGTTTGCACGATGCGCACTGCTTCCGCTTTTTGGTCCACAGCAGTGAAGAGGACAAAAGCGTTGTAGCACTTTATCAGTCATGTGAATCATGTGATAGAGCAGACACATGGGCCACCTACATGTCTGCCAATGGCAGGAGTGGGTGCCACAAACCTGCAAAAACAAAAAAGAAATGATCAGATGACATGAATAAATTCATACAGCCATAGACAAGAGATTCTTTCTGCCTATGGGCATCAAACTGATAACTGATGGGACTTTATCAGTTATAACAATGAGTAACAGTAAATAATTTGGCAAACAATAATGTATAATTGTGCTTACCTGTTTCAGATTATCCACAGCCCCTTTTCACTTGTTGTAGTCCAGGATGATCTGGGGCTTTTCTTGCCAGAGTCCTGAACTTGTGGCTCATGATGCCTAGTGCTAAACACGAAAATATTTTTTGATTTCTTTGGCACGTAGGATACCACAGCCCTGTTGCAACTGAAAGCAAAGACGGAGGACAGTACTTCTCTGTGTTGAATCATCAGCAGCTGTGGGGCAGCCCAGGCTTGTTCAACCTCAGAGTCCCCACCAGGGCCATCCTTTTATAGGAGCTAGCTTGTCCCCCCTGCAGTGACCTGGGCAGGAAAGAGAATCGTCAAATCTTAGGGAGAGATTAATTTGCAGGAATGTTTTTTTGTGACATTGTGACAGGAGAAACAATACATCCTTTCACCCTATTCCACAGGCTCTTTGTAGCTTCATGTTGAGACAACCCTGCAGGTTAGTAAAATGCAGGATTAGCTGCATAATGTCCTCCCCAAAAAAAGATCAAAAGTGCTCACAGGGCTGCTCCTCCTAGCAATTGCATAATGGGTTGGTCCTGGGGTTAAAATGAGAGGAAGAAAAAGTGGCAGGGCCTCTTCATGCTTCATAATAGCACTGCTAGTGCTATCTTTTATGCTTTCGGAAGAACGCAAAGCTGCAGCCTCCTCTAAATTGAGTGTACGTTTCATGGTGTCTGTGCAGAAATGACCAGTAAGACCAGGCTGCAAACTATTCGCACAGACTTCAAAGGTGCATCTGATTAAAGATGCTATACCATGCATCCAATAAGAGAGGGGTGGCTCTCTTTTGATCAAGAAAAAACATAAACACACACACATACACACACACACACACACACACACAATATATTCTCAGTCACATTCGCACCTAATATCAGATAATATGCTTGATTTTTATACCAGTAGGTGTCAGTGTGAGACCATGAGTTGTTGGGTGGGTGTTGTTAGCAGCCAGAAGCACACACTATTTTCTCATAATGGCAGAGTATTCAGGAACGACAAGCCACATCTCTCTGTCTAATCACTCCTTTCCTGTTTACAGGTTTGTATTGTGTCCAAAATAGAACATAAAAGTGTATATATATGTTGTGTTAGGGTTAGGGGTTAGACTGCACTCAGACCAAAGGGGACTGAATAATTACGTACACCCCACTTTTCAGTTATTTATTTGTAAAAAATGTTTGGAATCATGTATGATTTTCGTTCCAATTCTCACGTGTGCACCACTTTCTTTGTGTTGGTCTTTCACGTGGAATTCCAATAAAACTGATTCATGTTTGTGGCTCTAATGTGACAAAATATGGAAACGTTCAAGGGGGCCGAATACTTTAGCAAGCCACTGTATAATCTCTCCAGCGTGTCCTGGGTCTGCCCCAGGGCCGCCTCCGGGTGGGACAAGCCCGGAACACCTCACCCAGGAGGCGCCCAGGAGGCATCCTTGTCAGATGCCCGAACCACCTCAGCTGGCTCCTTTTGATATGGAGGAGCAGCGGCTCTACTCTGAGCCCCTCCCCGATGGCCTAACTTCTCACCCTATCTCTAAGGAAAAGGCCAGCTACCCTTCGATGGAAGTTCTTTTCCGCTGCTTTTATCCACAATCTCGTTCTTTCGGTCACTACCCACAGCTCGTGACCATAGGTGAGGGCAGGGACGTAGAATCTATCTACCAATCTCCGGCTCCCTTCTCCCACCACTCGTGAAAAAGTCCTCCACTTGGGGCAGGAACTCATCCACAACCCGGAGTGGGTACTCCACCCTTTTCTGACTGAGAACCCTGGCCTCAGATTTGAAGGTGCTGATCCTCATTCCTGCTGCTTCACACTCGGCTGCGAACCGTTCCAGTGCGAGCTGGAGGCCATAAGCCGATGAAGCCAACAGAACCACATCATCTGCGATGAGATTCTGAGTCCACCTAAATAAAAGCCCAATGCCACTTGGC